GCAGCCTGGTTCTAGACTCAGATGATGGATGAACGCAAACCTCTCTGCTGTGATACTCCTCGTTGCAGTGCAGTGAAAGCTAAAAATTGTGTTTTACTAGCGAAGTTACATTAGCTTCTGTAAATAGTGCTTACTATCATGTAACTTTGGTAGCCACATTAGATATGGAGCGTGTTTCAAAAATGCACGTTTTGAAAGATTGCCTGGTTATTTTTATTATTGCTTTTAGTGCAGCAAATATCTCTTTCCAAGCTGGTTGTTTCTAAGACTGATCGTTTTGTATTGCTTGAATTCTGTAGCAAACTTAGATCACCGCCGCTCTGAGTCTGACCAACCTGCTCCTCTCTCCCAACTTTTGCATACTGCATTGTTGGGCATTAGAAAGTCTGCTCACAAGCTTTTTCTTAGATGCAGTCAAGTTCTTACGTGGCATATCCTGCACATTGCATATGTTGTGAATTGTCATAGATGTAGTCAAGTAATTTATGATCATTTGTCTTGTAAAAGTGCCTGTAACGTGTAAGTGCAACTGAGCACAATATTTATGGCTATATGCTCTAAATGGTTTGTGCTATTTGCACGTAGCAAGTGACCTGTAGCTACGAATGTTAGCCACGTTAATTGAGTGTATACATGACGTTATTGTGGAACTCCTAATGTTACTTACGCATTACACACTGCTTCAGTAACAAATTCTCAAGCAACATCTTTTGCATTAATCACCCAACTGTGGGTGCAAAATTCGTTTTTGAAGATCAACCAACTTGAGCTGAGGATCTATGGATTAGCAACATTTTTTTTTATTTCTTATTTGTGTAGGATGTGAAAGTGCCAGCAGGCTGTTAGGCAAAAGACACGTCAAGGCTTTAAAATGCAAGGTTATGGTGATAACCCCATTGCTTCGGTAAAGTCCTGGCTTTCAATAATGCGAGTGAATTATATGGCTTTATTAGCAATCATGCTGAGCCTTTGCACATGTCAGCCGTCTGGGCATGTAAACTGTAATTAAATTATAAATCTTGGTGAAAAAGGATTGTCAGCTCTCTGTAGCTGGCTGTTAAAACCAAAGCTACGCATACAGTCGACTTCCGTCAATACAAAGTTTACAGGAACCGCAAAAACTTCTAATTATTCAAACTTCCAACTAAGCAATATGCACAAGAAACTGCACTTTTATTGCTTCAAAGCCTGACAGTTCTCTAAGAAAATAGTCTGTGATATTTTGTTGCCAAACCTGGCTGCGGCTAGCAAGTTTCCCAAGCACTACACATGTTGAAGTGCTTCTTCAGCATTGTCTTCTTTAAAAAGACAATGAACTGCAATATAAGAGCGAGACCCGCAGGCAACACTGGTAGTACTGGGTGGCGGTTCATTTCTGTGTCATCGTCCACTAGCCAAACCACCTGCACAATTTTTTCTGTCTATTAGTGGACCGCATGTATCGACATTGTTGTCACGACAACACATTTTTTAATACGGACGGGGTTAAGGATGGCCCCAAAAGTAGCATAGTCGAGTTCACCTGTTCGCACTTTATGAAATTTGTGAGCAAGCTAGGCTTAATGCCGTACTTTTGTGCGATGTCTTGCTTGGCGGTGCCTCCCTGGTCAACTTCTTTCAAGACTTTTGACTCAAGGTCAAGTGTTCGGTAGGGGCCGCAAGTTGCCATTATCAAATGTCGCCACCACAATACTCAAAGTCAGCTGTTGAAACACGTGCGGAATCAACCCACAGGGCGTTGGCGGGCTAGTTGGTTTACCATACTATGTTTGAACAGCCCAACTGGACGCAGACGGAGCAGGACACATAAACACACACAGAGTTCTGTGCGCGTTTGGACCTTCTTTTCCACCAGCGTCCAGTCACGCTGTTCTAACTCCAACCAGACTTCAACGAAGCACGCGGCTGAAGTACGTGACCACCACTTAACACATCACAACAAAAGACCTGGTTAGCTGACGCAATTAATGCGATACCCTGGCGTTCACTAAACAAGATCGCCGCTTCATGAACTGTGATGCTGCGGGTAGTGGCGATGGCGGCAACAGCGCAGTACAACAGCTGTCTTGGCACATGAAGAACTCCCCATTTTATTCAAAAATTATGGTCACTTCGAGGATCTCAACTGAAAATAACTTCTAACTAACCAACATTACGGGCTTTTAACTTCGAATGATCGAGCATTTTTTTCCCTTAGGCATGCATGCAAAATTGATGAGATCACTTGTTGACTTTTAATTAACCAAAAACTTCAATTAAGTGACTTCGTATTATTGGAATCGACTGTACTATGTTGCGTCATAATTACATTTTTGGGACTGCCCGCTGCTTAAAATCAGTGTGCAGTAGCAAAACAATTTATAAAACAAGTATAACTTTTCAGCAATGCATGCTTGATTTTTGTAGAAGGTGTAGAAGCAAGAATCCTTCCTATCTTATCATTTGCTTGAGTGCTGATGCACACTCTTGCTGAGCTTACTATAACAAAGAAGAATGAGCTTTTTTGCGAAGCTGAATGTTTATAGTCACTTCAAAATTTTGGTGAGAAAGTGACCGTTTCAAAGTTTGAGCAGCTAACATACACTCTCCAGTATGCTGTGATTACAATCATTTTATTTCTGGATTAGCTAATACTTTCACTTGTGCAAGCTTTTACTAATTGCTATTATATATAAGCTATTGATGCATTAATGTGCTGGTGCACTTTGCATCATTGCCATATGCCTAATTCCGAACTTAAATATGAGCTGGGTATGTCCACAAATAAATGCGATTCGACTGCGAAGAAACAATGAAGAAAGATTTGCTGGACGGATGTACTAGTGTATTCTTGCAATTCATTCTCACCGGGTTCAACTTCCAGCCATCTGTGTTTTAAGTTCATTATGATTATGTAGTGCATTGGGTACCCTGAGTGTTGCAGAGTGAGCCAGTGAAAGCAAGCACTTGAATCTCTTTATAATCATTGGTCAGCTGTGTTATTTGTTGATGTTGTGATTGTCATTTGTTACCAGTGAAGTGAAAAGAAAAGTGCCTCACATGGAATACGTGTTCTTAGTTCAGCTAGAACAGGCGTGATTTTCGCTATCTCAGGACGCACTTAAGCATTGCCTTTACGCAACGTGAGAAGTGCTCTGTGGTATTGTTATCCACACATATCCAAAGAAATGAAGGTAATCACCATTAGAAGTGAACAAAATGCTGCAACAAAGAGCCTGCCTCGTTTGTTTCCACATAAAATTTGCACATACATGATCTCTGGCTTAGTTTCCAGCATACATAATCTTGTGTAACCCTGTATGTGATAGTGAAGTTCTCGGTGACCTGCTGGTATGCATTTTTACACTGCATGCTTCAATGCTAACAAGTTCTCAAGCGAACCCTTTTAGTTCAATAATTGCTTTGGTACTCTTTGCCTGTGTCAGATTCTATGAAGTTGTCAAATGTTTTGTGATTGGAAGTAAAACTATGAAAAGGTTCCTTGTATATGGCCGTCTTTCTCCTTGTTCTTTACAATATTTGTTTACATCCTAGGGAAACTTGACTCCAGCTTTAACACTACAGACATATTATAGCAATTGAAACTCTTTACTGGTCAGCTGTACGATACCTCTGTCAATACTATGTCTTCATTAAAAAGAATGCAATGCAACATCTTCATTATGAAGAAGTGTAGTGGTTGATAAAGCATTTTCTCACCCTTCAAAATTGCAGTTGACGAATTCAAAGCAAGGTTACAAGTGATGCTGTACTAGAGTTATGGAATCTGGTTGATCATGCAGTTCTTTAACTCGTCCCTAAAAACTTATTTGTACGTATTCTTGCATTTTGCTTCTATTTTGATACAAATACTTTAGCTCGGTATTACCAAGCTTGTGCTTTGCAGAACAGTACTGCAGCTACCAAGATGCTGCAGGGAATGTTTATGTGGTCAAAAGCTGCGTAGACTCTACCAAACAGGTGTTGTAGGCAGAACTGCAACTCCTTTTTGCTTTTAGGGCTGCCCATAAGTCAGCTGTGATGATCTTAAGCTTTCACTACATATTATACTGGGTATACATTAGTGTCTCTAAGGTGTTTGTGTATGCAGTTTTGAAGTTGAAGTCTTGGGTCCCTCTTTCTCCTAAAACTGCTACCAGCAAAAGGGGAGGAAACGTATTGCAAGAAAAGGGGAAGTCATAATAAGTTTTCATAAAACGTGTTCATAATTCTCACCTCGCCTACTTATACACGAAAATTCTACTTATTCTTCAAACATTCTATTTGCACATCTGCTGTGGGCACCATGTGGTTCATTACGGGAATGCTCTGTCATCCTTGTTTTATGATCTAAATAGCTGATCGCAATGCCCATGCTTATCGTATGAAGAGAACCAACAACTATTGTGCAGAATAGTATCCCATACAACGTAACATGTACCGCATGTCGGTCGACAGTTAAAGTCAGCGTGACGGCTCTGGAGAATACAGAAGAAGGATGGAGTAAAAAGCCACCTTTCGACTGAAACTTACTCAGCTAGCGTGAACATAGAAAAACAAGGCTGAGCATACATATCCATCGGTTTCAACTCGCCCATCTTTCAACCTTGCTTCAACTTACAGTCTATGCGTGGATATAGTCCATGAGAAACCTTTCTCATAATTTATTGTAACCTAAAAGCTGCTATATGGATATTACATGATAACTGAGGAGATGGGAGAACACACACAAAATTAGAACAACATACATGTGGCTTGCAGTTACAGTTCAGCTGGAAACAAGGCACCTTCAGCAGTACCTTGCTTCGTTCTGTTTTGTTTTTCTGAAAAACTAAACTGTACCTCATAAGTGACACCAGGTGGTACGGCAACCAACATTCACTGCTGTGTGTCTTCTCTCGTACAATGAGGTGCGTAACGTAAGGCCAGCGGACCTTCATTGTCTACATTGCACACTTTGTAAATGTTTGTGTTAAGCGCACACAGTATACTGTGTATTTCGCTCTGCACATTGTGGTACTTCACAGGACCAGCCAGTCCCTCGAATTGGTGTCTCCGTGTGTCGCTGCGCTTCCCGGCGGCAGTGCTCCCTGTTGCCAGTGAGTTGAGGCCGTGGTCGCGGCCATTTTGGCCCTCAGCAGCGCCTGCAAGTGCGTCCACTGCTCGGTCTGTGCTCGCAGTGAGGCCTGCTTCTCGCGCAGCTCCTTCTGGCGCTCCCGCAGGGCCTTGCCCCGCTTCTCCTGCTCGGCGATCTCGTGGCCCAGCTTGGCTCTGCGCGAGTGTGGCATTTGTGTGCACTGTTCCAAGTTGTTGCGGTTTTAGAAAAAGACGTGAATATACACAGTGAAATCTCGTTAAATCGATCTACGCAGGAACCGAAAACAGAAAGTGTCATTGAAATCTTATTCTACGAAGCAGGGTATCGTCGCAAGAGCGAAGCTACGAACGCGATACGAAGTTGTGCTAGAAGCTCACTCCTTTAGCATGCGACAAGGCGTAACTCTTTAGGAAACGCGGCCGCAACAGTGAGCGAAGCGACGTTTGCTCTGTCTATAGCCTCAGCGCAAACTTTGAGATGAAAAAATACGTACAAAGATATGAGCCGTATGCTGATCTCGATAAAGATACGGTGCGCACGACAGCAGGCGACCACGCATGGCTGGTCAAATTACGTTGTTCCAGCCGAAGTCGCACAGCCCCCCCCCCCCCCTCCCTTTCGCAACTCTTCATGCGCCGTATCGCACGACTGAAACGACGGGCGTTTCCTTTCCGCTTGAGCCGCCATCGTTGGCATCCCTTCGCACTTTCACTTGCACGTAACAAATATGACGCGCAGGGTGATATTTTCAGATTTGTACTTTTATTTGGAACCTTACGCGGTGACGCCGACGGCAAGAATGCGCCTGGTGGGTCAATATCATTGTGTGAAATATAAAGAAAATTCTACATTGCGTGTGCATAGGGAGCCAGAGAAAGAAGTTTTCTCGTCAAAGTTGTTGCCCTTCCCGCGGGAGTGCTGCTTTACCTGCACCAGCGCGTATAGAATTTATTTTGTATCCCCACACTGTCTTAGAATACTCTCTCCTCAGGGGCGTGGCTGACGGGAAAGAGTAATTTCACAAGGTTGAAGTTCGATTGCTTCGCGCGTGCGATGGGCGCTATTTTGTTCGTGTTGCGTAGCCGCTAGCGTGACGTGGGTTGTTCGGCGTGTGGATCACATAAAAAAAATTCTAACAGGTAGATCCAGAGCCAATTCGGAACACACAGCTGTCTCGACAGGGATTTCCCATAACTCGGAATGATGGTTGAGAAGTTGAGGCAGTCCCTCAAAATCCGGGAAGGTCGGCAACCCCCATTCCGATAGTATAGCCACCTGTAAAGCGTGCACTGCCTCAAGCAGACTCGTATTGCAGTGAAGCAACATTACGCACATGTTACGGCGGGTTGTTTTTACAGTGCCTATTTTACTTTCCTTTTTCGTACTTTCCACCACTAGAAAAACTGACGGGTGCTTAGTACAACGTGCTTCACGGCAACTCTGTAATCGAACCCTGTACCTCTCGCACTTAAGGAGCGCGGATGCGCTATTACTTGACTATACGGTGCAGTAAGCCCTTTCTCCGTTTCGAGCAGTGGCAGTGGGGAGGATAGGAGTGCGTTCAATTCCCAGTGCCGTCGGGACCGGGAGATGGGGTAGGGGTACCCTGGCCTGGTGGTCGGTGTGGGAACTCGTATCCCGATAAGTTGGCCTCTCCTTTATAGCACTGTTATTTCACTCATAGCGATGCTGCGCAATGCTTCTTCGTGGATTGCAGAAATAAGCGTCCTGAAACCACCTTACAGCTACGATGGGAATCGTGGTACCTCGTCCTCAAACCGCTATCAGAAGTATGGCCTTCGCTTTCAACAACTGCGTTCAATTGCGCCTCTAAAGGCACCATACAGCACACGCATGATGAATACACCTCTATTTAGAGCCACGTATATCGCTACTTGAACGCACTGTGCGTCGTGGCTCTCTTCGATGAGAAACTACGCTCTGAAAACAGCAAACTTTATCTAGGTATATATCTTCTTTCTGTGTGACCACTGCTGCTAATAATGTATCTATTTAATAATATAGCTTTATTTAGCGAGAGGTGACCGATTAAATGTTATCTTATTTTCGGCCGGGAACTTAATTACAAGACGGCCTCTATATAAGGTAATATTGTGCGCGTAGTTTGATGATTACATTCTAGTCGCTGTTCATAGGATGGAAAACGCGAGTGCAGGCGTATGGGAAAGCCTGCAGGTCTGGTTTTATCGTCGATTTCTTTTTTGCTCACAGGCGTCCGTTTTAGGCGCCTTGGCGAATATGCGTTCACCTTGATTATGTGTTCACCCTACCTGAGTGAAGTCTGGCCGTCAGAGCCGGCGTCGGCTGCTGCGGGGTTTCCAAGCACACCATTAGCCTTGAGGAAGTTTAGCTGCACTTCGTGTATCCGAAGGCTGTGCTGGAGGAAGTTCAGCTTGGACTCCTCGCTGTTCAGTTCACTTCGGAGGCTGGACACTTCCTGGCGCGCAAGAAAGAAATATTTTCGTCAATAAAATTACGTGTGCATAGTCTCGCAGGACGTACAACGGCGAATGCCTTGTAAACTCTAACAATGGGCTTCACCCTCCGCGTTAGTCTGTTGGTTATTGGTGCTTCACTGCTGACCCGAAGGTTGCGGGGTCGAATCTCTGTCATGGCGGCCGCATTTCGATGGAGGCGCTAATACTGGAGGCCCGCGGGCTTAGAATTAGGTGCACGTTAAAGAACACCAGGTAGTCGAAATTGCAGGAGCCTTCCACTATGGCGTCTCCCATAATCATACCGTGATATTGGGACGTAGGCTCCAGCAATTATTATGCCCTTCTGCCATCCTCAGCAAATTGCCACGAAAGAGTGCAAATGAGAAGGCTGCGTGGCTAGCAATCTTGGGGTCTACGAAATGCGTTCTCTAAATGACACATCAACATTATCAGATTTCATAGCCAATGAAGTCGACAGCCAATATGCTGCCTATGTAATTGATTAGAGATACACTACGCTTCAGTCGCACGCTTGTAGTAGAGTGTGCGCCCTTATAGTCTACCCGCGGCGGTTGACTGAATAAGCTGTACAAGTAATATATGCGGGATATCCCAATAGCTAAGTTGGCTCTGACTGCAGGAAATGCATTTCTGATTATTTTCTAGAGAACTCGGCTGCGACTAAATGGCTGCGCTGCGTAGGTGACTCCTGTAGGCGACCTCTATAAATGCAGCGTTATGTTATCTTACAATAAGCGCACAACACATTTCAGCTGTTGATATATAAGTGTAAACTTGTTGCGCAGAATCAAATAGGCATTATGAAGCCATGCCTAAAAATCTGAGGAGAAGCATCCGAAAGGTTTATTCGACGTTTCGACCCGAGTCCGGCATTGATCAGAATGAAAACCAAGCTTCGGTCGAAACATCAAATAAACATTTTCTTGTTGCTGCTACCGAGAGTCTTTTGCTTATTTACATATCTAAATGGGGGTTCATGCACGTGTTCCCAGTACAGCGAACTGTATCAGTAGTATTCGGGACTTATCGTCGCTTTCGTCATAATGGTATCTCTCGGAAACGAAAGCCTATGCAAATCCATAAAACGCTCCGTGTGCTGGCAACACTGGTCGAAAAAACCAAGATGGCTACGTTCAACAATCTCAACGCCTCCTAGAAAAACTATGCTTGAAACGCCGCTCTGTTTTCAATTGGGAGCTTCCTGCCAGTACGCAATCGGGGAGGCCACGCATCCTGCCGCGTGTTGCGCCCATTTACTGCGTGTGAACGCTCGCCTCCGTAGCGCTCAGTCTCGTGACATCAGCGCTACTCGGAGGCAACTGTGAGAGCATTGCTGTGTTCGCAAGGGCGTCTGCTCCCTGCGAACACAGCAATATCCGAGGTTAAGGCGGCACGTTCGCGCCTCACGTTCATGGCATCTGTGTGTCAACGCGGTGTTTTCCTTTGGCGCTGTGCTGAAATTTCTTGAATATGGCGTCGGATCGCGTTGATTCGTCTAAGGCGAAAGGTAGCGGACCGGCTCATTCTCGTCGCCATAAAGAATTTTACTTGCCGAACAGCGGAAGTAGTGCTGCTCTGCGCGCAAACATCGGGCCTCTTCGGCGAACCGCATCAGATTTACCTCAAGTAGAAGAACCTGTCTAGCAAGCCCGTGGTTGAAGAAGGCAACTGTTCATGTGTAGCGGGCCTCTCCGAAAGGTGCTAGCACTTTTTCGCTGCGCTGCTACACTGCTGCAGGCAAGGCCGATTTTTTAGGTAACTACGTTGAGACTCTTGCTGCCGAATTCATGTATCCCATTGAGTTCCGTTATCCAGTCAAAAACTAAATACGCATGCCGTTCACCTAATTACAGACCAGAACTATGCCTGGGCCAGTGTACCTTGAGATAAGGCAAATTGTAGCTTCGATTCTAATAGGAGTGCTCTTTCCTTTTTGTTCGGGAAACATGTTACGAAGTTTCTACGAATAAGGTCGTGTGCTTCCGAAAACTCGCTTGTTTGTGCTGACAGTACCTGATAGCCGAAGCATATTGTCACGACGTCAAAACAGAGGTCTTGCCGCAGAGATTGAGACACCAGAAGCAGGTCAGTCTTTTGATAGAACGCGCAAGCGAGCTCTTCTTTTTCGTCCATTTCGTAGTCCTTCGTGGCACATGCACAACTGCCATCGTCTTTCCTGGGCAAGCACGTGACATTTGCCTCCCTCCGAAAGAGGCATCGTCCCGATGCGCAACTTGGGTGCTCTACCAGGCGTATGAAGTGTTCGTACCAAAATGGTAACCGGGAGCTAATTAACTCGATAAATACGGTTTCATACGCACGACGTGCACAACTTCAGGTAAATGCTTTTGGTGCTTAGCTACAATCAGTGTTGGGAACAACTTCGTAGTTCACGTCGTTTAAGCGTCGCGTGACGCTGTATGGGCCAAAGTACCGTCTTAGCAGTTTTTCAGACAGTCCACGTCGACGTATCGGAATCCAGACTCAGACCTTGTCGTCTGGTGTGTAACTAATAAACTTGTGTCGGGGGTCATACCGTTGTGCATCTTGATGCTGCTGATGACAGATGCGCACGCGCGCGAGTTGTCTGGCTTCCTCAGTGCGCTGAGTGAATTCTTCGGCGTCTACATGGACGTCGTCACACTCATGCGGCATCATGGCGTCCAACGTTGTCGTGACTTCGCGACCATAGATCAGACTGAACGGCGTCATTCCAGTGGTTTCTTGTCGAGTGGTATTATAGGCAAAAGCCACGTATACGGCAATATCGGATCCCAGTTTTTATGTTCCGTGTCAACGTACAGGGTCCTATTGAGGCGCTTCGTCAGTCCGTTTGTCTGCGGATGGTATGCAGTTGTTCTCCGGTGAGCTGTACCCCTGAGTCTGAGAACCGACTCCAAAAGCTCTGCGGTGAAGGCAAGTACTCTGTCTGTGATCACTGCTGTAGGAGCGCCATGCCGGAGGACGATCCTTTCTATGAAGAACTGAGCGGCTTCTGCTGCTGTGCCGCGCTGCATTGCTTTAGTCTCCGCATAACGGGAGAGGTAATCGGTGGCCACAATAATCCGTCTGTTCCCTGTTGTGGAAGTTAAAAAGGGACCCAGGAAATCCATTTCAATATGGGTGAACGGCTTTTCTGCTGCTTCGACTGGATGTAAAAGACCGGCTTGCTTGCTGGAAGCGCTTTGCGTCTTTGGCAGTTGGTGCAAGTTCGCTCGTGATGGTTAATAGCTGCAGGTAACTTTGGCCAGTGGTACTTGCATCATATTCGGCACAATGTTCGGGTGTAGCCTAGATGACCAGAAGTTGCTTTATCATGGCACGCTTCCACAATTTATTTTCAAAGAGAGGCACGCACGACAAGCAAGTGTGGGTTAGCGAGAAGTTTTTCTTATAGAGAACATCGTTTCGCAGGGAAAAAGATGGCAGTCCTCTAGCAAATAACCGCTGCACGTCTTTACGTCGTTCTTCTAAATATTCGATGAGTGGTAACAGCTCAGGGTCACTGGGCTGCTCTCGTGCATTAGTGGCCGTGTTGACAACTCCCAAGAATGCCACGTCGACGTTTTCGTCATCAGGAGCGACAGTTTCCACGTCTCTTCCCAGATTTATAGATGATGGTCATGTCAAACTCTTGAAGCCTTAGGCTCCAGCGCGCCAAACGGCCAGATGGATCTTTAAGGTTGGTGAGCCAGCTCAAAGAGTGATGATCGCTAATAACCTTGAAGGAGCGGCTGTACAAATATGGACGAAATTTAATGACCGCCCACACCACGGTGAGACACTCCTTCTCGGTAGTCGAGTAGTTCTCCTCCGTGCGAGAGAGAGTTCTGCCGGCGTGGGCTATTACTCTTTCACAGTCGTCTTGCCACTGCACCAGAACGGCACCTAGATTTACATTGCTGGCGTCAGTGTGAAGTACTGTAGGGGCGTCCTGGTCGAAGTGCGCAAGGACTGGAGGTGTTTGCAGGCGTTGTCGTAGTTGATTTGAATGTCATTTGTTTCTGTTCCTGTATATATGCACGCACATTACGCGCACTACGAATGCACGGACATGATATTGTCACGCGGTCATGACGTCGATGAAGGGAGCAGACTGTAGGTCAAAGATGAAATTGTTTATTTGGCTGAACTTGTAGCCGGTGAACGGAAAGTTGGATTATAGCGATACACATTGGCACTGAAGCGGCGAACAGCGCTGGCCGTTGATCAGCTCACAAGTGGTAAAGCGCGTCGGCATTTATGTATGCGCCGTCGAATATTCCAGCGTTATCACTAACAGCCATATACTTTCCGAAATAACCTTCTGATTGATATGTGGAGTTTAATGCCCCAAAACCAACATGTGATTATGAGAGACGCCGTAGTGGAGGGCTCCGGAAATATCGACCACCTGGTGCTCTTCAACGTGCGCGCACTCAAATCTGAGCACACGGGCCTACGGCATTTTCGCCTCCATCGAAAACGCAGCCACCGCAGCTGAGGTTTCCAGAATAATCTGCAATGTCCGCGTAGTGCGTGTAATCTTAATAAAATACTGCAGTCCTCAAAGCTTCTACAACACTGCAGGCGCGGATTTGCGCTGAGAATTACTAGCAGTGTAACGGGCGATAACAAAACTTGAAGGAATGTGACAATATATATACGCACGAATTTACATACACGCACGCTACGCATGCCCATTTATGGGCGTGTATACAAACATATTCGAAATAAAAGAAATGTTCGGGGTGGGGGGTGGGAGAGAAGTACAGCAGCTTAATGTGAGAGAAAGTAGTAGTGCGCCTTGCACAGAAAACAAGAATATGCGAAAAATAGTCACACACGTAACGCAACAAATTCTCTAAAGTGCTTGCTTATATAAACGAAGATATATTCCGTGCTTAGAGAAGCCCGAATACTGATGTGATAAGAATGCGCACACGCTAAATAATCGCATACTAATCGATAAGAATTAAGTAGTCGTGAGCGAATTGATTAGAACAAACTACCGCAGTGGCCGTCGCCTTTTTTTCATTGCGCTTCTTAGTTGCGTCGTTCTCCGTCGCGCGTCGTCTGCATCCTTCGGGAAATGATGGAGCGATACGTTGCCATTTTTCCACCGCGATGTCACGCATTGCGGCACACTTCCATGGTATTTAGATATCGCTTTCTCTTTTTTTTTTTTTTTGGGGGGGGGGGTTGCGTATGCGGCGTGATGAAAATAAAGAAACTAAATGCGGCCGCGTCTCAACGCGTGCAACGTGGTAACATATGCCCTTTCAAAGTTGACTCTGTTCATAGCCTCTGAGATCCCCCATCTTGAAGGCCATCCCCTGTTAATGCCATTTCCAGGCGCGGCCACCAGGTGGTGAGTGCTTAGTTGGAGTGCCGAATATTATCTAATCCCGTGGCGGGATTTTGCGTCTCTGTGCGCTTTCAGACGTCCTGTCAGGCAAATATCCGTTGTTAGCTCCTCAGGTCTTTGTCAACGCGAGCGCGCACAGCGAGTCTAATAGACACCCTTTCAGCGTCACTCATGGTTGAGCGAAAACTCCGTGGATTTTGTTTCGACGTAACTATACAAAAATAAACATACCTGCTCTAAACTTGTCAGCGTGCTTTCCAAGCCTGCTGCGCATGTGTCGTAGGCTGCTTTCTTTTTCTCGTACTCCATTGTCACGTCCTGCGCAAAATATGTGAACCGAGAACGCGTAGTGTTAAACTGAAGTATACGCAGATGGTGCTGCGATGGGCCATCATAGTTAACTATGCTTTCACTTCAAAGAGTTTTCATTTCCCTTTGTTTCGATATGACCTCCTCACAAGGGTATGTCACGGGTGCCATGTTGACAGATGGACAGTGTAGGCAACTGCTGATACAGCTTTAAACATCCAACTACGTGAATACTTGTACGATCCCCAAGCATGTGATCCCGAAGTCCAGAATGGACATATCATTTGTTTCGTGTGAGGTGCATCATGTGTATTTTCGATGCTGAAATCCCGAATGCGTTCAGTTAATCTGTGTAAAGTGCGTCCTACTGTCTAATACTTTACGGTTAGTACTGTTCCAACTTCGCACAATTTGCATGTAGTGTAAAGGCACACTGACACGCTGCTAGTATAAAAGTTTTCAACCGAGACGAGGAGCGCCTCCTTTTGGGGCTATAAACACGAAGGATGAAGCTCGCTGACGTCGCGACCTCCGCAGTTCATTTCTGGGAGGTCACACATGTTCGCCACCTCTGGCAGGGGAATTATGTCAGCACGCAGAAAGCCTTCGTTGTAAATGTGTGTGGGCAGCGCCTCCGGAGGACGCGCAGGTTTGGGCTAAAGGAAATCTACCTGGTAGGTTTTTCTAAGTGGCCTGAGGTCCTTTATGGCCGGCGCCAGGCGCCCCTTCCTTTCGGCAATTCGCTTGTTGAGGCTGGTCACCATGGTGGACATGTCTTCCAGCGTCGCCATCTTTGTCTCGTCGAGCGCGGCCTCGTTGCCGGACAAGCTTTCCAGGGTTCCCTGTAACCGGTGGTAGCCGCGAACGCCGTGCTTTTCTTCGAGCGCCTCCTGCGAAAACACGCCCGCTGCGGTTAGCGGGGCAACTTCATGGGATTATAAAGAAGTTGCTGACATGTACACTATCTGTTCAATACGCAGCTGACGAATCCACCCAATGAACGACGAATGAGAAGCAGGTGCGAGCTAAACATTTCGTATGCAATGTAATGCGCAAGTTTTTTTGGGGGTCATTTCACGGAAGTGTTGTTTCATACGACACAGAACTGTCTTAGAGTAGCATAGAGTAGCAGTTTCACCCACGTCAACGCTTGCTAAAGCTAAATAATAGTAGTATTGAGATTTTTCTCTTTGCATCTTTTCGTAGTCGCATCTTGTCAGCGTGTGTGGTGCAGTATACGGGTAAAGCAGATATTATGTAAAAGAAAGGTGCCAGAGAAGTTTATAATAGCAGTGACGTTTCAGTATACACATACATATTTTGTTTCCTTGTGTTCGTGGCAGTTGCCGGCTTGCTCTCAATTTCCCCCTTTTCTCTGTGTCCTTGTGTCCTCGCGTATAAAAATCAAATAAATAAGCATAAATAATCAAAAACTGCAGTTCCGTGTACGAATACACCAATGAGCGAAACTCCTTAAAAATATTGGTCACATATCTGCATGTTTCACTGCGAATGTCGCCAAAAGATGGTAGTCTTGCGTCCGGAGACAGTGAACAAAAAGTTTATTTGATGCTCTGCGTGAGAAAATGGGTGAATTGTATTCTGAAGGCACTGCGTTAGAGTGCTTCGATCCGTGCAGCGAAGGCGAACGAGCGCATCGAGGCTTGTTAGACACGAGCGCTATCTGGCAGTTATCTTCGAAAACAAAGAAAGGCGAACGTGCGCGCCCGTCTCGGAGGCGATAAGGTGTACAACGCAAAGTGACGGGCAGGTGCCACCACCATGTCGTCTTAGCAAAGCGTTGGAAACACGTGCCTTTTTGAGCATAGCGTTGCATTGTCAGCGCAGCGAGATAAACGCTACGGTTCTTAGAATTACTCATGTATGCCTTCTCTGGTATAAAGACACACATACAAAATACTGACGTGTTATTATAGTGCCTTAGATATGCGCAATAATTGCTTTTAATTTGACAATCACACAAGTATGAGCGCTGAAACTTGAGCAATATTGGTGGTCGCTGCGGATGGGGTTGGCCGTTTGGAATGTTGTTGGGGGCTGTTAGGGTTTTTGTTATGACAGACAAACAGACAAATGTACAGAGAGACAAACCAAAATTTTTGCGTGGAAGTACGCCTAGAAATTTCTACCGTCTTTAATGGGATGCTGACGAGAATGCGCCTGATCTCGCTGCTGGCTTTCATGAAAGTGGTAGAGTGGCGAGCGGATGGGGAGAGCGTCTGCTGCGCTCGATGGCGGGAACGTCTGAGCGAGTGAGTGTGCGGCGCGCGTGGCGCAGCGTGGCGCAGCAAACAACAGGAGCGCGCTCCTGTTGTTCCGCTCGGCGCACTTGCCCGTCGCACAGAGCTTTGATGGCGACAACGAAGTGTGAACCTAAGGAGCTTTGCTTCCAATAAATATCCTCACCGTAGCTTTATTGTAGGGCTAAACAACGCTGGTGTAAAACTGCATGCACGCACATACATACGTACACACGTGCTCACACGGGAAAGTGGAATTTTGACACGAAGACGCAAACTTTGTCTAGTGTCTAGAAATGTTGGCACGAACTCGATCGATCAAATAGCTAAACATTCTGTCGCATTTCTCCCGCTGCGAAAGAATTCGGCGAAGAACAGCCATTGTCACCCTCAGGATCAAAACCAAACCACGCACAAAACTGCGGTGGTTATTAGAAGCTGGAAAAAAATTGCTCTGAACGGAGACTCAAGTACCTGCGAGTCTTGCCAGTTCAGTGGCATGAAATAAGAAATCTTAGTTTTGTTTAACAGATCAAAACTGTCAACACATGTGCTCAATTGCGCTCGTTGTGAGAAGTTTTACAAAGCCGTGTGATTGGGAGAATCAAGAAATGTCGAAGCTTTCTAGTTCGGTGGCATGGAACAAAGCTCAAGGTTTGGTGTCCCGTCAGGAAGAATTGCGCCGCCCAAGAAACTGTCATCGGAGTTCATTATACAACACGATTGTCTATATACGGCTAGATGATGTGCTCTCTCTCTCTCTCTCTCTCTCTCTCTCTCTCTCTATATATATATATATATATATATATATATGTATATGCGTGGTTTGGGCCGGTTCTTTGGTCCTGCTCTGGTCTCCGACCCGTCAAGTTGGCTTGTCAGAAAAACTGCTTACTCGCTACACAGGTCCATACCAAGTCCTTCGTGTGGTTACTCCTGTGACATATGAAATTGGTTCTGTCGCCCCATCGCCTTCATGTGCCCAACAGGCTACCGATATTGTACATGTTGCGCGCTTGAAGCCCTACCACTCTCCTAGTGACGTTGACATTTAGATGCGCCGAGGCGGCGCTTCTGCCACCGAGGATTATGCTACATGCATACAAATTGAGATTCTAGGGGGCGACGCGTGTGTGTGCCTGACGAGGAAGACGAAGAGTGGTCTCCGCTCGGTGTCTGGTCTACCGGTCACGCCGCTGCTGCTGCTGCTGGTTTGAAATATATTTCATCCACAGCCTCGTTGATACGGCGTCTCTCTTCCGTAACAATATTTTTGACAAAAATACGACCCTAAAGTCTTGGTGGACCCCAGCATAAAACACTTTCGTGATGAAAAGAAAGCGCGACTGTACATAGCTAAAGAAGTCGGAAGACCCCAGCATAATGCTTTCGTGATGAAAAAAAAATTTGTAGTTGTACATAGCTAAAGAAGTCACATTTGCACTGAAAAAATGGTAAGAAATGAATGCAATAGCAACAAAAATTGTATAGCTATATAGAGGGAAGCTGGCAGCTAACTTTTGAATACTGCCTTCCATATTTCTACATGCTGCTGTAAAAGTACAACGCTGCTGTAAGAGTACAGGGCCCCGCAAAAGAGAGCAACACTTTTTGAAGTCTTTCCGCGATGAGACCGCAGTGCATCGAAGTATATGCGAGCTGCCCACTGATGGCTGCCGAGCTAATGCCTTTAGAAGTGAAGTTCACAGTTGCTGCCTGAGTGACTCCCCCCTCCCCATCTCTCCTCATGTCTTTTCATACATGTCCAGGATGGTTGGACCTCTCTGCTTTGACAGCAAGTATCGGGCGATCTTGTTGCATGCACCCTCTGAGCGACAGAGATGGGCCAACTCATTGTGTCTCTTCTTCAGCCACGTTCGTCACTTTAGCTCGCGCATTTACCCACAGTTAGAACATACGATAAGAGGGGCATGTTATTGATTTGGACTTTATATGAGACATGATGGCAATGGTGACAGCAAAAACCCATTGAGTGTCCATATTGCTATTGCACTAAGAAGGTATTCGCACAATTTAGCTTAGTGTTCAAAAAAATGCAGAGTTTAATAAATGCTGATATTGGCATGTGATGTGAAACGAGTTGACATCTGCTGGGAACGTTCTCTCTGACTGCTCCAGATATATTTAAAAGGCCTTTCTGGCTGCTCGAAGCCTGCGCCTAATTGTCTTTCTAGATGCTCCAAGTCAGCTAGCAAAGGCACTTTGGCTGCTCCCAGGACTGCTCTCAAACCCACGTACTCTGTTGCACCCCTGATTTGAGGAAAACAGCAAAAATTATCAAGCTGGAGATGGCACTGCCATGCTTCCATGAAGTAGTTCATACGAGCTGTAAGATAAAGAAGGCACAAAAAAAGAAGCATTGTGCTTGTTTTGTTTTTAAGCCATTATATAAGCTGATGTAAAGTTGCTTGCAATGTCTAGTGTTTGTGCGTGTGGGTGCATGCTCGGTTTGCTTCATTGTGTTGCAGTCTGTGTTAGTTTGAATTTTTGTACCCTTTATCATTAAGTATAATCGTGAAAAGGCCACGGATTATGAAGGCAAGGAGGAAGCTCTATTTGTAGTTTTATGTGACGATTGTGTGTTTGACCGGTCTGGTTCCATTTCTCTTTAATGACTATCCGTGTGGCATGGTCACATCGAACAGGGAGCGGCATTTTGGTGGAGTTGCCCCGGGGTTCAGGGTGGGGCACCTGAACGGAGTCACCATGGACAATCGGCTGGAAAACCTGGCTTTGGAGCGCCTGCCCTTGACGCCTCACCCGACTGTTGTGCCAGCTACGCCTTTCACGCCCGTGACAGAGTCCCAGCCAAATAAGCAACGCGAGCAGTCTCTATTGGGCTGCCATTCAGCAGCTACCACCAGAGCACCTTGTGGAAGAGGTGTGTTCGCTCACTCCATTGTAGGAGCTCTGTGAAAAGATTGTGCCTCAGTTAAAAAGGGGCGTGTTGGGCTTTATGTTGCTATTTTTTTGCTGTAGTGTGCCATAATGTGCCTCCCATTGACATGCTTTTTCCCTCTACAGGTATCGCCTTGAGTTTTGTGTCACCAAAGAACTAGCACAATTCATTTTCGAGCCATGGTATGTGCACACAATTCTATAGAAAGAGCACGCATGCATTTTTGTTAGGGCACCCACTAAAGAGTTTCCACATGGGATTGTTTTTTTCATTAAGATGAGTGATGTTGAGCATAGGATGGGACGAAATAAAGGGCACAATGACTCTTGAAGTGCAAACTTTTAACAATTTATTGATGAGGGTAAGAGGACCTTTCATATATTTCCAAGGCAGCATTGCAACAGAGCAATTTTCATGGAGCATATGACGGCGGTGGAAATTTGAATACAGTAGAATCTTGGTGATATGATTATGGTTGATGCGAATTTCGCGATGATACGAGTTTTAAGGTTGCTTCAGATGGACTACATTATATAAAATACGCCGTTATTTGGTGTTATATGACTTGTTTCCCCAGTCACCACGGATGATGTGAACACATGATTCATCGCCGCCTGCGAACGGCACAACGCAGCTTGTCCTATGGAAGAAGGCCCGTTCACACTTTCATCTGCATGAAATTTTGCTCAAATTTTTCCAAAGTATGAGGAATTGGGTCACCGTCACTCCTACCTTACTTAGATTGGAAAGTTATTCATAATTCATATGAAAGTGACCATTTTCCAACTCTTTTAATAACAAGACAACGGGATGACCGACCATCTTATCCTAAAAAGTGGAACTTTCATGTTGCAAACTGGGTAAAATTTAGAGAGCTATATACACTACGCCTCGAAGAGGTAGACTGTATGGAAGTAGAAGAGATGGCCCACTATATCTTCAAATATGTTCTTACTTGAGCAAAAAAGTGCATACCGCAGTCCAGCAATGATAAGGTTAACACAAAGGCATGGTGGAATTGTGAGTGTGAAATTGCTAAAAAACGACAAATCAAAGCATGGAGGACTATTCCAACCGCTACCCAACAGCAGAAAACTTGATAAACTCTAAAAGGTGCAAAGCGAATGGCAGGCGTATTCGCCCTATAGCCAATCGGGAAAGCTGGACAAACTACATATTTTCAATATATTCTTACACAGACGCCAGCAAGGTGTATAATAGGGTGCATAAACTTAAAGGACAAGGCCCAAATCTCTTCTCTTTGGTGAATGACTGCGGTGATACAATAGAAAAACAGGCAAACGCTCTTGGCGAACACTTCGAGAAAATATCAAGCTCAGAAAATTATACCGCTCGGTTCTTGCGCCACAAAAGTATAGCTGAAAGTGTACGTCTATGCCGTAACAAGCCTATATCTCACGGATACAATAAACCACTAACACTACATGAACTAAGACTTTCCCTTGGTTCCTGTGGAAGTTTTGCCCCTGGTTTTGATACAGTTACCTATGAAATGGGAGCAGCGATGGCGTAGTGGTTAGAGCATCCGCCTCGCATGCAAGAGGTCCGTGGTTCAAATCCCGGTACCGCGCAGTTCCCAACCGGATTAAAAAAAAAATCCGCGTGTTGATGGAACTGCATTAGGAGGCCTGGGGTGCGGCCTCACCGGCAAACACCGCCGAGAACGCACTCCCTCACCAGAGAAGGATTGGCCACCCTGGTGCAGTATCTGGCCACTACCTCCCACATGCTTACGTCAAATAACTCACGGCCCTCAGTCCCCAGCAGCTGCGAAGCAACTGACCACGGCGGCGGTCAGATCTGCAACGCAGCAGAGGGTGCTAAGAATCTCTGGATCCGGACAGGCCGCCATTGGAACCTGAACTTGGCAACGTTTAACGCTAGAACCTTATCTAGTGAGGGAAGTCTAGCTGTACTATTCGAGGAGCTAGAGGGTGTTAAATGGGATATAATAGGGCTCAGTGAGGTTAGGAGGACAGATGAGGCCTATACGGTGCTACAGAATGGGCACGTCCTTTGCTACAGGGGCTTGGCAGACAGAAGAGAACTGGGAGTGGGGTTCCTAATTCACAGAAACATAGCTGGCAACATAGAGGAATACTATAGCATTAATGAAAGGGTGGCAGGTATTGTAATTAAACTGAATAAAAGATACAAAATGAAGGTAGTACAGGCTTACGCGCCTACATCCAGCCATGATGACGCTTCAGTTGAAAGCTTCTATGAAGACGTGGAATCGGCAATGAGTAAGGTAAAAACACAGTATACTATGGTGATGGGCGACTTTAATGCAAAGGTAGGGAAGAAGCAGGCTGGAGACCAGGCAGTAGGAGATTATGGCATCGGTACTAGAAACGCCAGAGGAGAGCTACTAGTAGAATTCGCAGAACGCAATAATTTACGGATTTTGAATACCTTCTACCAAAAACGAGAAAACCGCAAGTGGACATGGAGGAGCCCTAATGGCGAAAATAAGAACGAAATAGACTTTATAATGAGTGCACACCCTGGAATCGTTAAGGATGTGGAAGTGATTGGCAAGGTACGATGCAGTGACCATAGATTGGTACGGTCTCGAATTCGCCTAGACTTGAAGAAGGAACGACAGAAACTGATACGCAAGAAGCCAATCAATCAGCTAGCACTGAGAGGGAAAGTACAGGAATTCAGAGTGTCGCTGCAGAACAGGTATTCGGCTCTTAGTGAGGAAACCAACCTTAGCGTAGATACAATGAATGATAATCTGACGAGTATCATTACGGAGTGTGCAGTGGAAGTTGGAGGCCGGGTAGTTAGACAGGACACTGGCAAGCTTTCCCAAGAAACGAAAAACCTAATTAAGAAGCGTCAAATCATGAAAGCGTCAAGTACAACAGACAAAATAGAACTGGCAGAGCTTTCGAAGTTGATTAATAGACGTAAGGTATGCGATGTAAGAAGGTATAACATGGAGAGAATTGAACACGCTCTGAAAAACGGAGGAAGTGTCAAAGCATTGAAGAGGAAACTTGGGATAGGCAAAAGTCGGATGTATGCACTAAGGGACAAAGAAGGCAAAATAACTACCAATATGGATAGGATAGTTAAAATAGCGGAGGAGTTTTACAGAGATCTGTACAGTAGCCGAGACAACCACGACCTTAATACTATAAGAACTAGCAGTAACCCAGATTACACCCCACCAGTAATGATAGAAGAAGTCAGCTTTGGAGAGCATGCAAAGGGGCAAAGCTGCTGGTGAGGATCAGGTAACATCAGATTTGCTGAAAGATGGAGGACAGATTGTGTTAGAAAAACTAGCCACCCTGTTTACGAGGTGTCTCCTGACGGGAAGAGTACCAGAGTCTTGGAAGAACGCTAACATCATCTTAATACATAAGAAAGGAGATGACAAGGACTTGAAAAATTACAGGCCGATCAGCTTGCTCTCTGTAGTATACAAGCTATTTACAAAGGTAATTGCTAACAGAGTAAAGAAAACATTAGAATTCAATCAACCAAAGGAACAAGCAGGATTTCGAACAGGCTACTCAACAATTGACCACATTCATACTATCAATCAGGTAATAGAGAAATGCTCAGAGTATAACCAACCACTATACATAGCCTTCATAGATTACGAGAAGGCGTTTGATTCAGTAGAAATATCAGCCGTCATGCAAACACTGCGGAATCAGGGCGTAGATGAAGTGTATACAACATTCTGGAAGAAATCTACAGGGGATCAACTGCTACCATAGTGCTTCATAAAGAAAGCAACAGAATACCAATCAAGAAGGGTGTACGGCAGGGGGACACAATTTCCCCAATGCTATTTACCGCGTGCTTACACGAGGTTTTCAGAAGCCTAGAATGGGAGCAGTTAGGGATAAGAGTCAATGGAGAATACCTTAGTAACCTGCACTTCGCCGATGACATTACATTGCTGAGTAACTCGGGGGACGAATTGCAACTCATGATTACGGAGTTAGACAAGGAGAGCAGAAAGGTGGGCCTTAAAATTAATCTGCAGAAAACGAAAGTAATGTACAACAACCTCGGCAAGGAGCAGCGCTTCGAGATAGGTAATAGTGCACTTGAAGTTGTAAAAGACTATGTCTACTTAGGGCAGGTAATAACCGCAGAGCCGAACCACGAGATTGAAGTAACTAGAAGAATAAGAATGGGGTGGAGCACATTCGGCAAGCACTCTCAAATTATGACAGGTAGATTGCCACTATCCCTCAAGAGAAAGGTATATAACAGCTGTATCTTGCCGGTACTTAGCTACGGAGCAGAAACCTGGAGACTTACAAAGAGGGTTCAGCTTAAATTGAGGACGACGCAGCGAGCAATGGAAAGAAAAATGGTAGGTGTAACCTTAAGAGACAAGAAGAGAGCAGAGTGGATTAGGGAACAAACGGGGGTTAAGGATATCATAGCTGAAATCAAGATGACGAAATGGACATGGGCAGGGCATGTAGCGCGTAGACAGGATAACCGCTGGTCATTAAGGGTAACTGACTGGATTCCCAGAGAAGGGAAGCGGGTTAGGGGGAGACAGAAGGTTAGGTGGGCAGATGAGATTAAGAAGTTTGCGGGTATAAATTGGCAGCAGCAAGCACAGGACCGGGTTCACTGGCGGAACATGGGAGAGGCCTTTGTCCTGCAGTGGACGTAGTTAGGCTGATGATGATGATGATGATATATATATATATATATATATATATATATATATATATATATATATATATATATATATATATATATATATATATATATATATATATATCAACGTTGTATTAATAAAGCTTCTATTAGACGCCTTTTCAGTCAGATGATGGAATGATATCAAAGCTGGCAATGGAATAATTTTGCCCAGTAAAACAATACAACAGCAAAAAAAATCTGGCGTGTTTTCAGTCGGTTACGGAACTCGAACTTGGGCGCGAACTCATGCGAGACGAGTGATATGTCTTTACGGCAGTGCTTCCAGGGCCAATCTGGAATGAAGCCTTGGTACTGGGAGTAAGTTTCCTTAACTAAGCCGGTCACGTCATAAACCTTGCATGCTGTCAAATGAGATGCACTCAAGTGACGTCATGGTGTCGCGCAAGTTTCGCGCACTCACCAAACTCTGCCTGAGGTCGCGCTCCTTGTGCGTGAGTATCTCCTGTGTCCTGGCCAGCACACCGGTCTCGGCCCTCAGCTCGGCCAGCTCCTGGCGTTGTTGCTTGTACTGGCTGCTCTTGCCGCGCAGAGCGTTCACATACTTCTTAAACTGCAGCGTGGTGAGCAGATGTGCATGTTCATGCATGGGCACCGAGAGCTTCGCGGCTGGCGTCAGTGCATACCTCGTCTCCTTTGAGAACCTGCTCGCCGCCGGCGACCAGAGACTGTTTCTCTTGCAGCTGAGCCTCGAGCTGGGAGACCTGTAGGCGCAGCTCGTTGAGCGTCTCGGCGGCCGCTTCCTTCTTGCGTGCGATTACTGCCGCCTGCGGAGTGAACGAGGACATTATCAAGCACCCAGGTTATGGTGGCTAGACTCTAGCCACCATACCCAGGCACAAGGCCGTCATGTTCACGTTGCCAACCACGTCTTCGTTGGCTGAATCATGCAGCCCTGGCAGATGGTCATCTAAAATTTCAGTGAAACACTAAGCCTATGGACGCAGAGGAACATTACGACGACATGTGCGTGTATTTAGGCGAAAGCCTTAGGCGCCTGATCTAACTGGAAATTTGATTGTCGGCGGCGACCGTCCCACGGCGTTTGGAAAGAGTGATGCAAAATATTATCATGTGATAATGGCATCAAATGACGTCATCATGACGGCACAGATAGCAGAATTTGTGGCGTCATCATGAGATCACAAATTCCTGCGTGACGTAACGCCACACGATGCCGTTGTAGCGCCCTCTTTTGGGGGGTGAACAAAACCGGAGAGCGCGCGATCTCAAGATAAGAAAATGAAGACGGTGCTTGGCAGTGTGGCACGTCAAGGCAACGCTTGCGTTCCGTGCTCCCTTATACTACAGTGTCTAGAATTATACTGGTACTTATACGTCTACTGAGAAGAAAAAGGAGATTGCTTTCACGCTTGAGTTGTATTTGGTGAATGCGCAAGGGAATGAAGGGTCTGCGTCTGTGGACTAGATGAGCTGCACTGTTCACAGAAAGTTATTACTTCCTTATTTTCGAAAAGTGCTTCGAATATGCTTTAATTTTTCTGCACTTGCAACGAGCGATTCTTTCTCGATTTTCGTGATACATGAATACTGCCACCGCCATTCCGTAATAATTCAACTGTGCTTGAAGCAAAATGGCGGAATTCACGCCAAATAACGTATCTATGTACACACATACCTGTTGCCTAAACAGCGTCAGCTTGTCATCAGCTTGTTCTTGACTTCACATCTTCTGCTCATAAAGAGCATTGATTTCCTGGTTTTCGGTCTGTACCTGTGTCAAAATAACGGCAAACGATTATACAACTGATATTCAGTGCGGGTTAACATACTCGTTGCACGATATATAGGGCACTCTTGCTTCGGACTAGATTAAAGATGCAATAATCGCGACTGTTGTCAGATCTCATGTTACACGATATCGCCAACACATCTGTGTCGACAGAAATAAATTCATCATCCCCTCAATGTTCTTGCGCTGTCAGAGCCAATTAATTTATATCCAACGACCTTTACGTGCAAAGGTATATCCGATTCAGTTTGGACACATTTCAAATGGCCCCGCCGCGGTGGTCTAGTGGCTAAGGTACTCGGCTTCTGACCCGCAGGTCGCGGATCTAATCTCGGCTGCGGCGGCGCAATTTCGATCGAGGCGAAAATGCTGCAGGCCCGTGTGCTCAGATTAGGTTGCACCTTAAAGAACCCCAGGTGGTCGAAATTCCTGGAACCCTGCACTACGGCGTCTTATAATCATATGGTGGTTTTGGGACGTTAAACCCACGAATCAGTCAAATAAAAATATTGCTTGCACATGGAGATGTCCTATACGTGCCATCGATGCGTGGTCACATACCTTTGCCTTTAGTCTGTTGATTTCGTTTTGTCCCATCGCTGGTTCAGCGGACACCTTCTGCAGGTCCTTAATGGCGTTCTGACAAACAGTGATTTCCTTGGGCAGCTTGTCTCGCACCAGGTAGCCATTGGCTCGGACCTCTTCCTCCAGCTTTTTCATAAGTCCTTCAAACACATTGAAACATGCCTCGAAAACTTACGAGGTTTTCGGACTTGCACCGAATTTCGTTAGTGTTCCCTAAATACCAAGCCCCAAAATATCCGCGCTTATTGTTTTACTATTTTTACCCTCACTGCTTCTGAAGTACTGTCATAATATTAATTTTATTATGCGTCATGTACTTGCGCATGCTGGCAACTTTTATTTCTCCACTTACACATTTTACCACAATAGAGGCGCGTTATAGTTGTTCTGTGTAAGACAGATTCTCGTGAATTCAACATCAACCTTTAAAATGCAAGTACAATCATGGCAAAGAATAATCACGATTTTACAAGCTTAAAGGTATTTCAAATCAAAAGTAAGTTACAAAAAAATTGTAGAAATGACGCATTGCTGAAAGTTTAGGGCAAATTCAACCTATTATCGGCCAATCCCCTTCTTTGGGTACGAGCCATTTGCACAGGGAAACAACAACAACAACAAAGGTGGAGAAGCATACCTTCTGGTGTTGCACCGGTTCCCGAATGTTGCAGGTCTCTTAGCTGCTGCGTTAGCCTGTGGATCTTTTGCTCGCAGTGGTTCAACTGCAGTTTAATAGAAAGATGCATCGGTGTGAGTGCCAATGTGCGCGCATATTCGACAATGATTTTCTCGACCTATTCCCCCCCCGCCCCTACTCCTTATAAAATGTGCACCAACGTGGGAGAGACCATTTCAGCTATCAATAGTTTGTATATCGTGCAGCTAGATGGCAAGGCCCAATTATGAATGATGCGCTCTGGTCTGAGTTCATGCATGTGCCTAAATACTCTTGCACTGCTCGCTTTGATTGCTTGGTGCATATGCTTATTGGTTTGCAACAAATATAAGAATTCGGAGTGGCATGTCCAGCTGCGTCCAGTGTAGATAAGCTGCGATCAAGATTATAGAAGTAGGGACAATACATGGACGCCTGTCTTATTTTTTCATCATCAACACGCTATACGTACGTTTACTACTTGAACTTCGCTCACAAAATACTTAGTCTGGGTGGAGCAGTTTAGTAGTGACCTCAAAATACATATAATATAAAATACCATTTTAACAAACTACAAATTTAACAAAATACAAATTTAACAAACTCTCATGCAATCTATTTGCCTTTAAATAAGTTTGTCACCTCAAAACCGAGACTCTACATTCATATGAATTTACGCTATTTGTCTCTTCGTAAATTTGTCACATCAAAACCGAGACTCTACAATGATAGGAATCTACGCTTCGGCAGTTGAGCAATATTTAGTCGTACAAATCGCAACTGTTCTTTCTTGCACAGTTTATAAAGGGCCAAAATGTGCAATATATTTAGTAAACTGCGAAGGCATATGCGTTGCCACTATTAGTGACGGGGTTCGAATTCGGAAACGAAGTGCACCCTTATTATCGCTACGAACAGGCCGTGCATATATTTCTTCGTTAGTGATGCAGAGAGTAATTTTGAAGAATACGCGCTGCGGTGGCTTAGCGGCCATGTTGTTTCGCTGCAACTCACGAGGGGGCAGGTTAGCTTCAGGCCTAGGGGCCGTATTTATTATAGAGGCCAATAGATTTGTTACAGTATGGCTTCTGGACAAGGTAGAATATGCAGTTACTCCAGAGGCTAAATGCGAGAACGACCGTGTCCCTAAAGATTCGGGTGCACCCAGGGAGACCTAATAATTAGGTCTCGTATTTTGGCATTACGGCGTGCTTCGTAATCATATCGTGGTGTCGTGGTCGTGTCGTAGCGGTACTTCGTAAATCAAGCACAGTGTTCGTACCGACCTCAAGTACTGTCACTCACATACTTCCAGGAGCCCGCGTGCTATCGCATTCAGCCTAATTACGGCGCCTTCAACCCACCGCCACGTCTGTAGATTCTACAAGTTTTACTGAAGCTCTGCAGCTTACTGAACTTGTGCTCTGCGAATCTTTCGCAAGTTCGCGTGATGCAAGTTCATGCGTGGAAGGCTTCAAATCTCACCGTGTCCCTCAGGCTGTTCCTTTGCTGGGCTAGCGTCTCAGCTCTGTCCTGTTCCTCGCGGAGGTTCTTGGCCAACTGAGCAGGGTATCCTTGTTGCGCTGAGTTTCGACCTGCGGTGTATCGGCGCATGCGTTTGACGCCATTAGTCTCGTTTTTTGTTTTCTCTTCATTTTATTCACTTTCGTTGATCGACACTTTTCTACCCCTGTCGAGATAACCGCATATATGGGTCGGCATACTGCGTCCTCGCAGCTTCCAGTCTAGCTTTTTCGACAAGATATATAGTGTCAAAGAAAATTTTCTCAACGTCGTCATTATTTCGCAACATGCCATGAAGCGAATGTGCAAAAGCTCGCGTTACTTTGTGCGAATGCTGCATGCATCGTCCTTAATTAGTGAATGGGCTATACGTGTGCTTTGAGGGGACATGCTTCGGGCTTGGTGAAAAAAAAAACACATTTCAAGTGCATTAAGAACTGCCGTGAACAATGCAGCCGAATTTAACTCTAGTGCGTGGCAAGAAACATTTACAAACAGAGCTAGAAGTTGCCAATTTTTCAAGTGTCCCCTCTTTGATGCCATCGTGCACTCACTTCGGTGGGCCGGGCGCAAGCTGTATGTCGTCAAACAGCAGAGTATGTCGTGACAGCAAGCCACTATTGCACTGGACAGGATCACTAATGTATAGGCCAAGTGAATAAGAATCCTTGCAATAGCAATACACAATTCAGTGAATTTTTCACATTTTTTCAACCATTTAGATACAACCTAAGTGTATATTCCTTGTTAGTGGAGCTAATAGCGCGTCAGAAGTAGTCAAAAGAACCCCCCTGCCCCAGTTCTTCGCCTTTATTTCATTTACATTGGACTCTTAACAAACGTTATGAGAAGGTGATTGAGTTGGTGTATTTGCTTCACGATTCAAAACACTGCGCTTAGAACCCAGTCTGGCATGCTGTCGTATGGGCTACAGATGCTTCAATAACCAGTACATCCGTACCTCCTGAGGTTTTCTTTAGGTAAAGCATTACGTCTTTACGCAAACCAAAAGGCCATTTCGGAAGGAAAACATTCTTAACCCTCAATTTACAAATTTTGGTTAGGCGAAAGTGTGTGTTGCTTTCTTGAAACCTCCTTAAGGATGCAAAGCGGTTCAACGGTGAAGTGCTTACCTTTCGTCGAAGCTTCGCAATCTTCCTGGTCAGCTGCTCACGCTCCTGCTCCATCTGGGAGATGTCCTTGCGCAGTTCCTGAGTGTTCAGACCACTGGCCTTGAGTGCTTCGCCCATCTTGTGCGCCTCCTTGAACTGCTCCATGGCCGCTTCGTACTGCGGGGATCCACTTTTTTTTTTCTTTTTACTGCTCGTGACTCTATAGTCGAAATTGCCCTTAGATCAATTCGCGCGAAAATGATAACCAAAATTTGATTTTCTGACCAGGGGATCGAGTTTTGGGCATATCACCGTGTTGAATCTCGATTTTCCGGGATGGAGAGGTGCGTAATTCGCGTGTGATGTTTCATGGTTTTCCTCTCTTATTTCTTTCTTTCAGCGTGGTTACGCAGGAAAACCGCCATTCCTACGTGCCTTTCCTTTCGGAAAGTAAAACTCGGGGCCAGCCGCCACGGCGCTTCTTCTCGCAGACAGGCTAAAAATTGTTTCGTGTGTTTTAGAGTTTAAGGAAGAAACATCGAAACGCAACACATCACATTCAAGGAATAAGCGTTCCACTTGTGAACTTCACGCGGCTTGCTGTTTTTCCTGACCAGGTTCGGATGCGAAGTGCCTTTTTATTGTGCTATATTGACACTCACAAGGGGTCGTTGCCGTTGTCCTCACCGTCATCGTCATGCTTCTCATTGAGTCCGAATTTCTAACATGACTTTCCTCATCGTGTGTTCTGCCCGAGAGCAAAAGCTCGTGAGCGC